ATGATGGGTGGATGGATGGATGAGCGGGTAGATGAGTGGATGGATGTGTGGGTGGATAGTTACATGGATGAATGGATGGATGGTGGATGACGGGTGGGTGGATGGATGATAGATAGGTACATGGATGGATGGATGGGTGGATGGATAAGAGATGGGTACATGGATGGAGGAGCCTCCCTGGGAAAAGCAGCCCCGCACCGGAGTCAGACATGACGGGATAGGATTTACGCCCCACTTAAGTGGTGGCCCACCTCCCTCCTCTTTGTGAACCCACACCTGCCCTGCTGGCCTTGGGTGTGGAACCGGGGGACCAGGTTTGTGCCCAGTCAAGAGTAGGCGTGTGGCCTTGGGGTGGCAGCTTGCTTCCCTGAGCCTGGTATCTCCATCTGCAGAGGGCCCATTGTGCCACAGCCTCGGGGAAGGCCATCACATAGACCAGGCAACCCCTAACCCACTAGTAGCTCCTGTGAGGCTGTGGGCAAGTCACTTTACCTTTCTGAGCCTCAGTCTCCTAATGTATAAATTGGGGATGAGAATCCTTCCCAGTCCTCAGGGGTACCAGGCAGTTGAATGAGGGCACGTGAGTGAAAAGTGGCAGGGCCGTGCAAGCAGGCAGAGGCTCTGGTGGGCATCATCCCATCCTCCCTTCCCCAAGCCCTCCATGCCTGCCTGCCTCAACCAGGAGGGGATAGAAACTTTCAGGGCCTCTCTCCAACCTGGCCAGGCTCCCTGACACAGCTCTCATCCTTTACCCGAGATGGAACCACAGCTTCTGTCTGCATCCACCCCACTCAGCTTGCCACTTCATTTCACACCAAATCCCAGCCTTCTGCCAGGTCTGCCCCATCTCCATCCCTGGGGCCAGACATCAACTGCCTCTTCTCCTTGACTACCTCCATCCTACCCTTGACATTTGATGCCTGCCCTGCCTGGCCTGCTGGACCACTAGACCATCGAGTCCTCAAGGGAAGGAACTTGTTCCCATTCTTCTCAGAATTCTCCACCCGCAGCCCATGCCTGGCCATGCTGAATGTTGAGCAGTGTTTGCTGAACCACGGAATGATGGACAAATGGGTGGATGGGTGGGTGGATGGATGAATGGGTAGGGTGGATGAATGGATGAGTGTGTGAGTGGATGGGTGGGTGGGTGGATGATAGATGGGTGGATGGATGGATGGGTGGGTAAGTGAGCAGATGATTGGATGGATAGATGGATAATAGATGGGTGAGTGGGGGATGGATGGATGAATGGGTAGGGTGGATGAATAGATGAGTGTGTGAGTGGGGGATGGATGGATGGATAGGTGGGTAGATGATAAGGGAGTGGATGGGTGGGGTGGGTAAGTGAGCAGATGATTGGACAAATAGATGGATGATAGATGGGTGGGTGGATGGATGGATAGTTGAAGATAGGGGGTTGATAAAGTTGTTTCTCATAAGGAGACTCCAGATGAGTGTGGTCTGCGGCCCAGCCTAGATGCACCCAGGTTGACCTCTCCCCATATCAGGAACGCCCTCTATAGCCTTCCCGACAGAGCTCAGTCAGCGCAGACATGGACTTCTTCAGGGATGGGGAGCTTTGAGGGCAGACCTACCCTTCTGGGACAGATCCTGTTGAGGCTTTCCTGGGAGCTGAGGTTCACTCCCTCACCTCTCTGCCATGGGCTGCAGTCCTGGCCCTGCCACCAGGCTGCAGAACCAGCCATACCTCATAGGTGAGTTCCTGAGAGCCAGACAGGTTCCTCCAGGACTTGATGACCTTTGTTTTGGGGGCTGGAGGCTTTTCTCCATGCTGACTGGACAGTGGACTGGGATGGAGAGAGGGGAGGGAGATAGCTGTCACAGCCCCCTAGGAGGACAGGATAGTGGCTTGGACAAGGCAAGGAGAGACGGTGAGTGGTGAAGCTTCAAGATCTGTTTTGGAGCGGCGGGGTGGGAGAGAGGGAGACACCCTCAGTGAACGCCTTGGGGGTTGAGATGTGGGCAGAGGCAGGAGGGGGTGGATAAGATTCAGAAGATTTTATCATCATCATCATCTTCTTCATGAGAATCACTGTCCCTCCCCCACCCTCCAACCCCTGCACTAGCCTCCTAATGCTGCTCCCCAGACCACCCCTGCTCCCCAACACCTCCGCCCATCCAGGGCTGGGCTCTTAGTCACTGGTGTCAGCACTGTGGGTGAGAGAATTTACGGGAGGCTGCATTTCAGTCTCCAAGTCTGTCAGTGCGGAAGGGAAGTCAGGCCAAGGCAGGTGAGTGCCAGCTTCTGGACACCCTGGCTAGGACCAGGCTTGAGCTTCAGCCCCAGGGTCTTCTCCATTGTGACATGAGACTGGATGTCCTGCCCTGGTGGTGGCTGTGCTCTGCCCCCTGGTAGGCGGCCCTGACTTCAACCCTCAGAGGGAAATACCAAGGTCCTGGGAAAATGGCCATGGTTGGATCCCTGGCTCTGTGGTGACCAAGACATGGGGCCATGGGGCAACAGAGGCTGGACGGGGATTCCAGAGAGCATCCAGGTCACAGGAAGCTCTGAGCCACCCAGCCCATATCACCATCAGCCTTTGTGGCTCCCAGCTGGGACAGGGACAGACTAGCAGGGCAGAGGACTCAACCTTGTGGGATGAAGGGGCGGAGGAGCCCTGACCCTGGTCACAGGCTGAGCCCTGATCCTGGTCACATGCTGAGCCCCGACCCTGGTCACACGCTGGGCCCTGACCCTGGTGGCACACTGAGCCCTGAGCCCTGACCTCAGCACTCCCCTCACTTTTGTGGGAGACCCGAGAAAAGCCAGATGAGAGGGTGTGATGACTCTGAGAATGGTGTCCCCCCCACCCCCCGCAAAGTCAAAGCTCAGAATTACAGCCCTGATGCGGTACATCCAAGACAACCCTCACACTTTCTTGGGCTCCCAGCCCCTGCCATCTGGGAGGCCGCCATGAGTCTCCCAGGGGAATTCCAGACTGATGGCAGCACACTGGGTGATGAGTCTGTGCTGGGCATGTGGTTGTGGTCAGGTGGGGGGAGGGCTCCCTGGGCCATGGGGGTCCTGCCCCTGGGAGCTGGCCAGAACCTAGAGCCCTGTGCTCTGCAGGTCTTTCCCACGAGTGGCATGGTGTGGAGTCCCAGGCCCCAGGGTCAGAGGACCTTCAAGACCACGGTCTCCTCCTCCCAGAGCCATAGGGGTATCCATGGTGGTGCCCACCCTGAGTTCTGGGGACTCCAGGACAGACCCTGTTTCAGTTCCTCCCTCCATCTGGGATGGAGGACGGTTGAAGGGTAGGGGACTCTCTGGACTCAGGGCCCTGGGCTGGGGACATCCCTGAAGGCTACCCAGCCGCCTCCCAGCTCTACTGGAAGTGCCTTGAGTTGTGTGCCCTCCCAGGACCCAGAGGCTAACTCACCCAGCCGGCCCCTATAGCGGGCTGGAGGAGCGGTCAGGGCAGGGGGGCAAGGTGGGGCAGGTGGAGGGGGTCTGCAGTGGCAGAGAGCAGGGGCAGGTCCCTTCTCTTCTGTCAGGCTGTTGCTCATCTCCTGCCCTTCCCCTCTCCTTGGGGGGAGCGCTGGGTGCGGCTCCTTTTTCTGAGCTCCCTGTGCAGGGTTTGTGGAGTGCATGCGTGTTTTTTAGAGTTCTGCATGTGTCCACGCATGCGGGTGCGTGCCTGTGTATGTGAGCACATTCATATGTGTCATATGTGTCTCTGTGTGCATGCACATCCGTGTGTCACATATCCACACGTCCCTGTGTATGTGAGCACACCATGTGTCGTATACGTGTCCCTGTGTATGTGAGCACATCCATGTGTCATATACGTGTCCCTGTGTATGTGAGCACATCCATGTGTCGTATACGTGTCCCTGTGTATGTGAGCACATCCATGTGTGTCATATATCCAGGTCCTGTGCAGGTGTGCATAGCCTAGTGAGTGGCCATGTGTCTGCACATGCATCCAAGGGTCACACGGACACGTATCAATGTACATGTGTGCACATCTACACACGTGTGCATGTGTCCACACACATGTGCCCATATGTCTGTGTATGTGTGTGTCCTCACACACCCGGACGCAGGCTGCATCTGCCCACCCGGGGAAGAGACTCTCAGGGAGACGGCCTGAGGATGGAGCGCTGGCCCAGGGCCAAGTGAAGTGCAGGTCCCTCCTTCACACGCGCGGCGCCTTGGAACCAGACACCTCGAGGGGCGGGCTGGTGAGGGCAGGCCAGGGTGGGTTCAGTGTGAGCCTGGAGGAGGCAGGCTGGGGCACGCTGGGGGACCTCCTCACAGCGGCCTCCGCCACACAGCCAGGGGCCAGTGCTACACAGGCTCCCCTATTTGGGGCCCGGGCCCTGTGGGTGGTGGGGCACTTCATCAAGTGACCCCAGATCCTGGGCCACCTGAGACCTTCCCTCCACCTGGGCCGCCCCACCCTCCTCCCCGTCACTCAAGACTGGCCCACCTTCCACCTCCTCCAGGAAGCCACCCTGACCCTGGTGGCTGTGCTGGCTCCCCCTGGCACACGTGTTCCACTCCCTGCCCTGCCCCCATGGCTTCCCTCCCTGCCCCAGTGGCCCCAGGGCCTGGAGGCAGAGACCTGCCTTTTGGGGGTGTCCCAGGCTAAGCGATCGTCCTTGCTTGTGGAATGGAACTTAAGCCAGGTCACAGGAGACAGAGAGGAGGAGAGACGGACAGGGGCACGCAGGCCAGCCACGGCAGCAGAGACGGGCCCAGGCTCAGCCACATGGAGCCAGACAGGAGAGAAACAGCTGCAGGCGGGCCTGGAAGCCAGGAGAGAGAGCGCTGGAGACGAGGGGCTGACGGATGGACAGATGCACTGGGGAGGGACGGAGCCAGAGACGCAGCGTGCGGCCCGATCCCACCCTGGTGGGCGGTGGCCAGACGGTGGCCAGAAGAAGGAGTGGACGGACAAGCAGGCACACTTCTTTACGGCGCTCGCTGGCTGCTCAGGCCGAGCGCGGGGTGTGGTGTGGGGCCCGGGGCTGCCCTAGAGCCCGAGGCTCCAGACGGAGATCAGCAGGGAGACGCAGGCCAGGCCTCCGGGGCCTCCTCCGGGGCCTCCCCTGGCGGGGGCACCATCCACATTGCACAGGTCGGTATTACAGCAGGACACGGGCCAGGTCAGGCCGATACCGTCCACGTCCAACAGCTCACACTTGCTGGCGCAGGACTTGGTCACTGTGGAGTCCCCCAGGAACGGGTACACTGCGGGCAAGGGGGTGTCAGTGGTCAGGGTGCCAATGGCTCAGAGTCACCTGGGCAGGACCCACGCGGGGCTCACCCCGTCTCAGCTCCTCCGCGGCTGCCCCCCTCTGTTTCTCCTCAGGCTCAGTGCCCACCAGTGCCGGGGCCCGCAAGGCCTCCCGCGGGGAGCCCCTCACTCCACCGGCAGACTCCTGCCTGCAACGTGGACAGTGAGATGACCTGCAAAGCAGGCCTGCTTCCTCTGCTCCCACTGCAAAGATGAAGATGTGTCCCACAGAGGGGGAGAGAGACAGGGAGGGAAGGAGGGAGGGAGGCTGGGCTAATTGCCTTTTGCGGGAATGTGTAAACTGAGGCTGGGCCACAGCGGCGGAGGCAACGTGTCTCTGGGAGCCCCATGCCCTGACCGGTCTCCAGGGAGTAGAGTGTGGTCTTGCACATGGTCTCGTTGGCCGTGCAGGTCGCCAAGGTGAGGCGGCTGGACACACTGGTGGGCTCAGGGCAGGTGAAGCACTGCAGGCCCGTTGCTGGGGGCATAACACGGGCAGCTCAGGCAGGCCCTGCCTACCACGCCTCAGAGACAGTCTGAGGGGGAGACTCAGCTCTGCCCCGGAGGCCCGGGGCTGAGGGGCCCAGTGGCCCACTGGCCAAAACTCGGGGAAGGAAAGAGGCCAGGCTGGAGGTGAAGGCCCTGAGCTGCCAGCGGGTTGGGCCAGGCTCAGCCTGAGGTCCGAGTCCCCGCATGAAGCAGGAGCCGGCCCCGGTCAGGCCCTGGAGAGGTGGGTGTGGGACTGTGCTGGGGACACGGCTGTGGCATCTCTGTGGTAACAGGTGCTGTGGGGGGTGGGTGTGGGCAAGTCACCCCTCAGTTTCTCCTCAGCAAACTGCAGGGCCTGAGGGCTACGGTGAGGATTAAGGGATCAGGCATGAGGGCACCGGCTCAGGGCACCGGCTGGGCCTGGTCCCGCAGGTGTGTCTCGGAGGCTAGGGTCCTGCAGGCTAGGGGCGGGGGCAGCTCCACTCCCCTCTTGCTCCAACTCCCCCAAATTGCGGAAGCTCCCACTGGCCCAGGCGGCCAGGTGCACTGTGAGGCCACAGGCTCTGCTGAGAGTAACTGGCTGGGAGGCTCTGCCCCCTCTCTGACCTCAGTTTCCCACTCTGAGAATGGGCAGAGCCATCTGGCTCGGCCCACTATAAAAAGTTTCTTTTCTGGCTGAATGTGGGGGCCCCAAGGATGGGGAGACGGGGACAGCTTCCTCAATTGTCCTTTCAGACCCCAGGTCAGCTGGTCACCACTCCGATACCCCGGGTTTCTTTCCCTCCTCTCCAGCCCCCATCCCCTCAGGCCAGCGCCTCCCTGGTCTCCCCAAGTCCCTCCTGAAAGCCCCCTCTCCCGCCACCCCTACATACCTTCCTCCACCCAGTAACCCCCTAGAACCTTTCTGACTGAAAGCCTTTCCCTGCCCCACACAGCGGGATGAAGCCCACTCCCCGAGCTGGGGCCAAGGCCCCTCACAACACCTCTCACCTCACCTGGCTGGCACCTCCCCGTCTGGAAATCCCCTGGCCCTCCCAGGCTCTCCATGTGGCCCCTTCTCTCCAGTCTCCTCAGACCACCTCCACTTCCCTCTGCCCTCAGCTCCCTCTGCCCGTCCCCCACCTACGAAGCAACCCCGCCAGAGGTCCTCAGTGGGGACCTCGTGTGACGGCACCGCATCCGCCGCCAGCCATGCGCCCTCACCGAGCTCCCCGCAGGTCGCCAGCACCAGCGCCAGGATCGCCAGCCGTGTCCCCCTCATGGTCCCGAGTCCGCGCCTCCATTCCGCACTGGCCCTCGGCCTGCCCAGGCCCGCAGCGGACACCGAGTACCGCTCTACAGGTCCGCTGAGCCGATTAACGGGATCATGTTTCCCAGGGGCGGAGGGCGGAACCCTGCCCCACCTGGCCACCTCCTTCCCCGCCTGGGGCCCCTTCCGACACCCTCCCTGACCCCTCCAAACACACACCGCCCCCTTCCTGACCCCTCCCGCCCTCCACTGTCTGGGGCCCCTCCCGCCTGCTCTTGAGCCTCCTTCCTGTTGGGGTTCCCCGCCCCCCAGCTGCCTGACCCCTACAGCCCCTCTTCCTGGCCTCTCCACCCCTCTACCAGAGACACTCTGGATTCTTCCACTCCAGCGGGCACAGTGGGCTGGCTCCCCCTCCTTCCGGGTGGTCCGGGGACAGCCGGCCTGCCTGGGAGGGGACGGCAGCGTGGCGGGCAGCTCCCCTCGGCACTTGACTCCTGGCCCAGTCGGGTATCCTTCCGCTGGGCTGTGGGCAGGACGCAGGTTCGAAGTCTCGCGACCCAGGTAGACCTTGGCCCTAACCTTCACCTCCCTGCTCCTTGGAGGCGGCCGCACTGTGGTGGGGGGCTGTTGCCTCAACCACCAGCTGCAATGTTTGCTCAGAGGCTTAGCGGGACAATGGCTGGGAAGTGCTGGGTCAGCGGAAAAGGGTTTGGAAGGCGTGAGGGCTTGAGGTGGGGGGGCGGGGGTAGCCTGGAACTCTGAAGGGGCGGCACCTACTCTGCCGCCCATACACATCACTTCTAATCTGCTTAGGCGCTGCCCTCAGGTGGGGCTTACCTGGGCCCATATTGCCAGTGAGGAAATGGAGGGAAGTTCCTTGCCCAAGGCTTACATGGACAGGCAGGCGTGAATTTCTGTCTGGATGACTCAGAGCGACTCCTGCCACTGCTCCCCACCGCCATAGCCCCCAGAAGATGTGCCCAGTCGGTGACCCACCTCCAAATCCTGTGGCTGCCAGAGCGAACCTGGGCTGGGCGTCGATGGGCCGGGAGTCTCTCCCTGGCAGCCAAGGCCCCCCAGTCTTGAGGCCCCCAGTCTCCATGCCGGGCTGTGCATCAGCCCACACAGCTCCTTATTCTTCTCCTTGGGTCCAAATCCCACCCCCTCCAGCACTTGGCTCTGCCATCCCCCTGCCCTTCGGCAGTGAAATCCCACCTAACTTGGGGAGCCGCCCAGCCACCCCCCAGGCCCTCTTATGGCCCCGGGGCTTCCCTGCCCCTGCGGGATCAGCCCCACTTGGGATCTGGTCCTCACTCCTAGAGACTGGGGGACCTGGGTCTCCCTCAGCACCGGTGTGACCAGAGGGTGCGTGGGAGTGTCTAGGGCGCTCAGGGTCCCCTCGCCCCTAGCACGTTGGGGATTACCGCGCTGTGTCTTATTTCCCCTGAAGGGCACCTTCCTGTTAGAGTTTGGATGAAGGGAGCCAGGCTCTGAGAAGCCGATGGACTTTCTCAGGGTCAGGCAGTGGGGCTGGGGGAAAGCACGGCAGAGAGCCTGTCCGACTCGTGCTCTGCCACGCCAGGTGACATCAGGATGCTAACCACATTAGACATCCACCAAACACACCCAGATCCTTGTTAGGTTTGACCCAGTTCCTCCACCTGGCCCAGCCCAGCACCTTCCTATCCGCAGGCCCAGACCCACCTGTGCCTGCCACCCCCTCATGCCTGGCCCCCAGGAACTCGGCTTTGCCCAGAGTTTCGGCTGACCCCGCTGGGGAGAACCAGGCAGCACCTTCCTGCAGAGTTGCAGCTGTTTGCTTGGGGTAGAGGGCAGTCTGGCCTGGCACTATCTATCGAGGCCTCAGGTCTGAGAGCTCACACTCTTCCTCTCCTCAGCTCTTCCACTCCCACTCTCAATCAAGGCAAGGGCCAGGGCTCAGTGTGTGACAGGATCAGGGCTCAGTGTGTGACCAGGGTCAGGGCTCAGCCTGTGACCAGGGTCAGGGCTCAGCGTGTGACAGGATCAGGGCTCAGTG